ACAGGCAAATGTTGTTTTTGCTCAAATGCTCTAAACCTGTTTGATAGGCCTTGAATTAAACAAAAAATGTGATATAATTCATATGAAGAAAGTAATATTCACAAAATATTTTTACTTATGAAAAGTCTAACAAAATATAGGAAAAGCATCGTCTTTAAAAACTGCTCCGCATATTGGACATAGCGCTTTTGTATGAATTTATTCTGCATGCTTTTTAATATGTTGTTAAAAACATTGCTGGAAAACCTTAAAATGTTTGCATGGAACCATGTCGCAATAAACAGATGAAGTAATAAAACGGATTTCTCGCTTTATTTTCTGACATTCGGCTGCCTTATAGTCACATTTTATAGGCAAATTTTCAAATAAAGCAGTGGCACCTGGTAAATTCCACTATGGGTGGGATGCAGCATGCAATAACAGCATACACAATAATTCCCATTACTTGGACATTAGAAAGCAGTTTCAGAAGTGAACTAGTGTTATTTTATAATTTTTCCTTTTTCTAAACGGTTATAATGCCACCAGTACATAATTGCGAAAGGAGGGGAGGGGCGGGGGACGCGAGCGCGTCGTGGAATGCGGCGCGGGGTGGCGCGGGACGGCGCGCCAACGCGGACCGCCGCGACGCCGGGCACTTTCAAAATTGTATACTTACAAATCCGTCCATTTAACTTGTTCATGTACTACTTTTTGTCAAATGTAACTGGGTGACTACGTACATATGTGCACTAGTTTGCTTTATTACTCAAATTGTTAAGTATAAAAGTTGGTCTTATTGCTCAACGAGAAATGAAATAAAGCAAATTTGTGTTATTTCACATTCAAATGGGAAATAACACAAATTTGCGTTATTGCCGTTTGTGTTATTTCACCCCCCCACAGTTTTGCCATATTCAGAAGTAAAAATTTGTGCTGAGTCTTAAAGAGCAGTAACCCGCGGACGTAAAAACGGAGAACGTGTCTGCTGGCACGATCTACCTTATGGGATCTGCGTGTTAACAAAAACTCACCACCGCATGACCATGAAGTAGACGTTGCTTCTCTCTCTTTCTATCAACAGCAAACTTGATATGTTTACGTACTTCTACGATATGCTACGTACGCGTTCGTGTGTACATATGTAAATGAGTACATAGTATGTACAGGGTGGGCCAAATAAAATCGACCAATGTTAAAAACCCGAATAATTTATTCATTTGCTAATATAATTGTATGTATTTTTGCAGATTGTAATTAAATCCTTAGAAATTCATTATGGATAATTACAGTATACAGCAACGTATGTATGTATTAGAATTATCGAATTTTTCTATTCTTGTCAACGACCAATTTTTATGATCGTCAATATTTTAATTCAAGATCAGCTGCCATAGCTTTCTTGATTAGCAGTTGGGTCGACCGTTTTGAGGAACGAGGTTCCTGGAAGAAGTGTTCATCAAAATATTTCCACTGCAGACAACGTGGAAGCTGTGCGGCAGACTGTCGCAAATGATCCATCTGTCTCAACTTGGCGTCGTTCCGGCTAATTGGGCATTTTCAGAACCACAGTGTGCAGAATTTCAAGTTGGATCTTAAGACGCACCCATATAAAATTCAAATTATGTACATACTGCTACCGCAACATCACCAACAACGTAATCTTCTTGGCGAACGTTTCATTTTTTTTATGCATATTCAAAAGACAAAGCGTATGTTGATAAACCTGAGGCTATTAGACAGCTGAAGCAGAATATTGAAGATGAAAGGCGGAGTCTGCGACTACATGGTGTACTGGAAAATGCCATAGAAAATAGCCAGTACTCGAAAAAATTGTGGACATTAGTCGGATGTAATTTTTTCATAAACAGTGTCTCTTAATTTTCATCAAATGTACTTCCTATATAAAAACAAGTAAAAAGTCTAAGTTCAACGTTTTGCTTATATGTGGCAAGCACAATAACCACACCGAGTTTGGTACAAATTGGTAGAACGGTTACCGATATACATATATGTGATCATAAGTGGGCGGTGCCACGCCCATTTTCCAAAATTTTACCATACACGTATTTCTTGGTAAAGAATTGTTGCAATCATCAATTTTGAATAAATTAGCTTCAATATTTACTGATTTAGCGAAGATTTTGTATTTCTCTAAATTACCGTTATATGGGATGTGGGCGTGGTTATCGTCCGATTTTAAAAATTTTCGGCGATTTTTTATGCTGTACCAAGGCCAAAAACTGTGCCAAGTTTGGAAGAAATTGGTGCAGCGGTTACCAATATATACACATGTAACCATAAGTGGGCGTGGCTACGCCCATTTTCCAAAAATTTATAATATTCTTATTTTTCGTTTAAAAATTATTGTAAATATCAATTTTGAGCGAATTATCTTCAGTAGTTACTAAAATATCGCAGTTTTCGTATTTCTGGAAATTACCGTTCTATGAGAAGTGGGAGTGGTTACGGTCCGATTTTACCTATGTAAAGTGTAATATTTAGAATTATTCTTAAAAATACTTTTTTGGGAAGATATCTTAAATTTTTTTCTCTTTCAAAGATAAGTGTGATGAAATCGTCTAGCCTTTTTTCCATTCAAGATGGCAACACTCGTTTTTGCGAGTTCTCGTCATACAAAGTGGTAGATGCGCGCGGTCCCTAGGCGACCGGCGCTGACTGTAGGTCTCTCCATTAGTGTGAAAACTTGAAATTCGAGGAAAAGCTCGGCCAACAAATTAGCAAAGACCATTAACGTATTTAGTAATATTAATTTAGTGGGTCAGAGGAGTAAGTTCATTGATAACTCAAAAGAAGATCATTACGAAATAAAAAGTAGTTCAGTAAAGATTATTTTTACTACAGCTTGAACTAATAATACACAAATTTGGTTTCTCAACTATCATAAGCGAATCAACAATAGGTGTGGAAGTAATTATATATATCAAGAATTAAATTTTAGGATGAATCACGTTCTTCTTTTTGTAAATTTAACTTTATGATGACACATATTTGGCATGCATGACTCTTCGCCTTCAATCTTCTTTGACCTTCAAAGTGCCTCGTCTAGTAAGCCAATTTAATTCTTAATTTTCTCTGCTATTTAAATACTAATACGCGACACTTCGAATTATTTTATTTCATTTTGCACAACTATGTATTTTAATTAAAAGTGCCACAGCGAATACGCGCGACACATTCCTCGTAAATTGAAGAACATTTTAATTAATCTTTATTGAAGCAGAGGAATACGCTAAATATTCCGCTAGTAAAAACTACAATAGTTCAACTATGGTGTCAAATTCTAAGATGCGTGTGCAAAACTTTGAATATTTGCACAAATTTTTAATATTTTACAAATTACATACCTCTTTTTCTAACGAATATTGTATGTATTTCGAAAGCAGTTACTATCAGCTCTGTAATGAACTAAATACATACATACATACATACATATGTATATGCATTGCATATTTGAGCTCAAAAACGACTTCAAAAAGGTGAGTGCCGCTGTAAGAATTTCTTCAATATTTTCCAAAGTAGGGAATTTCGGATTAAAAAAAGAAATAGGGTACACAATGTAATTTATTTTTTAACATTTGCGCCCAATTTTTAAAGTTGTTGGACTAATATATGAACATATTTTGACGATATTAAAATTTATGATTTTCCGGTTAAAACCAGTATATACTCCGCATTTCAACCATTTTCCATATTTCTTCATTTCTAAGTGCAAATTGGATTATATGCAATTTTTGGCTCTTCTTAAATATGCACTCTTAAATTATTAAACAGTGAATTTGAATTTAGAAAGGTAATATTAACTGCTCGGAGCTTTCTATATAGAAAATAATCTTTCCAACCATCCGATATATATACCTAAATTACAGTACTTGCACCGATACTTACCGTTATAAAATGTATAACATATTTATGTATGTATGTACCAATATCGATGATACTTTCATAAAATAAACTCAATTGGTTGAGAGTCTCACAGCATTCACAGCATTGATTGTTAGACTAATTACTCGATTATTTACTCAACTAGTTGGCGTCGTAATTCATTTGCTGCTTCTCTACAAATTTATGTTGCTGATGATTGCAAGTGGAATTAATACTATGTACTTACTACGAGTATTATTGTGTATAAAAACAGGGTGGCTACATCAAAAGAAAAATTTAAAACGCCAACAATAAAAAGGCTGAGAAACCACCATATATGTATGTGGAAACGAACAGTTTTAAGTAGTAGAAAAACAATGTTATATAATTGATTTTGATTGCAAGTTGAAGAGCAAAAACACGCACGCATACGTGTATATACTTGAATGTCACAAATGCAAGAAATCACTAGCAGATCAGCACTACTTCGTTGAGCATCACATAACCAGAGAAACTGTCATAGGCGCCCAGTAGATTTTCTATTAACTACTTGCCACATAATGCATTACATAGTTACATACATATGTACTTGCAACAAGCGGCAATAATCGCGAATAAATAACCAGTGCTTATACGTATGTATATATCTAACTTTGTATAAATGTATATGTATATAACTATATCTATATGTTCATATGAAAGTGTAAGTATGTACCACCCGACCACCACAATTATTCCATCAAATCAATTAACACTTCAAGGCGACAGCGACAATGACTGCGTAGCTGTATGGCGTCCAAGGGCGATCAGATGCGAGCATGTAGCCACCACCCTTCAGGCAAACGGTGACAATTTGCCACATAGTGTAAGTTGACAGGAGAAAAGAGTGCCACTACGGTGACCACTCTTGGTGATGTAGTGGGTATCAGTTCAGCTTTTGTTTACTTTCAGCATTCGCTAGCTTGTACGAAAAAAGCCGAATGGATAGGAGAATTACGGCGGCGAAATAATTAAAACGCCGCCTTTATAATCACGCGGAGGGCATTAAAAATACCAGAGACGGAAAATAAACATTATTTTTTTAAATTTTAACAAAAAAAATTAACAAGTTTTAATCGTCGTAAAACCGTTATAACTATACTCACGTATTTGTGTTCGTAGTAATAAATTAAAAATAATAATAATAATTAATATTTGATTAAGAAGAATATTTCAGTTAAGAATAATGATCATTCAGGAAAACTCAAAAGCTATAGCAGCGTGATTTCCGTTGTATCCTTTTTAGAGGTAGCGACACCCTAATAAGAAGAATAAGTTCCAAAATTTTCACGTCAAAATTTCAGTAAGTTGCGTCTGTATGGCCTTTTCAATTTCATAAATAATCATTGTTTTTAAGCGGAAAAATAAAACTCAATAATAATTATTATCTCTGAGCGAAAAAAATAAAAATCATAAAATAATCATTATTTGTGATCGAAAAAATAAAAATCAAATAATAATCATTTCCGTTGAGCGAAAAATATAAAAATCATAAAATAATGATTAAATGCTGATTTAAATTATTTTACTCATAATAATTACCGTCCCTGAATAATACACACTTTTCCGTACGTCTTTACTCTAGAAAACATGAGCCGGCCATCGAAAATTATAAGTTCGGCGTAATAAAACTTCTTGCTCGGCACATAGATGTGAAACAGCTGATTTACATGTGAAACGTTTATAGAAAAGAAAAATAAAAGCATTTTCGTGTGTGAAGTGATTCGCGTTTTTATTAAATTGTGGACATTAATAAATCAAATAAAATGCTGGGAAGTCGGCGAAACTTAAAAAGGTTGGTAAGCAATAAAAGAAAAGAATTTTTATCTAAACTTCAATATAAACCAACCAGCGAGGTAGTGAGTGTCCCGGTAGCATCTGAACCACGCGATTATGAGTCTCATTTGCAATCAAATGCAAATATAGTTTCTGGAAATGATCCTGCTAACAGTGTGCGTCCAATTTCTTTAAAAGAGCAGCTAAAAGATTGGGCTTTGAAACACAAGCCAAGTAGGGAGTGTTGCAATGATATACTTGCAATTCTTGCTAGACAAAATCTCGATGTCCCAAGGGATATTAGAAGCCTCATACCAAAAAAAAGCAAGTTGGTTATTAAGAGTGTACCTCCTGGGTTTTATTCTCATTTTGGCATAGAAAAACAATTAATGTCTTTTGGTGATTATGTTTCTCAATTCGAAGAAATCGTTTTCGACATAAATGTTGACGGAATACCTTTGTTTAGAAGCTCAAGGGTTCAACTCTGGCCAATTTTGATAAGAATTTTAAACTTTAAAGTCAATAACATTTTGCCAGTAGGTATTTACATTGGAAAACAAAAACCAAAAGATTTAGAAGTTTATTTGCTGGATTTTGTTCAAGAATATGATAATCTTTCGAAGACTGGTATTTGCGTTAGTAATAAAATAGTTAAGCTTAGATTGAGGGCGGTGATTTGCGATGCTCCGGCTACAGCTTTTATATGTGGCACAGTTGGACACACATCTTCCCACGGTTGTTCCAAGTGTACACAGGTAGCACGGAAAATCGATCAGGTTTTGACGTACACTACAAATTCAGACAAACTAATTACAGATGAAGATTTCACGGAGAGGCGACTGAAAAATCACTTCAGCAAAAAGTTTAGGTCAGAGGCTTCTCCCTTGGAAACTCTTAATATAAAAATGGTAAGCCAAATTGCTCTTGACACTATGCACCTTATTGATTTAGGGGTGGTAAGGAAATTTCTAATACGCTTGCTGAACAACAAAACCAGTTTGGAGTACAAAGCTCCTAAGGAAAATCTTAGTACCATTTCGACTAAATTAGTCTCCCTTAGAAAGTATATTCCACTAGAATTTTCCCGTCGACCGCGAGGTTTTGAAGACATTGTTCATTGGAAAGCAACGGAATATCGCCAATTTTTGCTTTATACAGGGATACTGGCATTAAAAGGAAGCATTCATGATGAACTCTACTATGAATTCCTCTTACTCCACTGCTCATGCAGACTTCTATCGTGTCCAAGATCCTACGAAGAAAATATATCGCTTTGTCAAAATATGCTAAGCCTATTTGTGGAAAACTTTCCAATAGTTTTCAAAGAAAATAGTGTGAGCTATAATGTACACAGTCTTTTACATCTTACCGAGTGTGTAAAGCAATTTGGTGTTTTGCAAAATTTTTCGGCCTATGGCTTCGAAAATTATCTTCAGATTTTAAAAGGCTACGTAAAAAAACCACAATGCGTACTCAAGCAAATTTACAATAACGTTAAACACGAAAACCGTCGCATTTCATCACAACAGGAAGGATTTGTAGAAGAGAAAAATCGTGTTAAAAAGTTTGTGACCTCAGAATATATTTTTAGTACCAAATTCCCTGATAACTATTGCTTTATCTTACCGGATATTCCCCTCACAATCAAAAGTTTTGATAAAGAGAACAACCTTGTAATCGGAAAGCGATTTCTAAATCAAACGCATTTTTTTAGTCAGCCTATAGATTCGTTAAAGCTTTTAGGAATATGTTTAGTCGATGAAAATATTAATGACTTAGAGGAGAGTTTTCCCACATCCAAAATTAAATGCAAATGTATAGGCTTACCATATCAGAACAAAATTTTGTTAGTTCCAATCCTACATGGCTGCTTTTAAACAAACACAACTAAATTAAACAATCGAAAACCAAATTGCATGCACACATATATAAGTTATATAAAACTCTAACTTACCTTTTCTATCAACATTTTTCAAGGGAAATCTCAAAAATGCAAAATCGAGCATTGAAGCACCTTAACTCAAAGGACGAACAGGTTCTACTCGAAGGTAAATATTTACTACATTTAAGATTTCCAGGTTTTACGTATTAACTTCATTTTATTATAGGTGAAAAACGATGTGAAAATTGTAAAAGGTTTAGGTGAAACTCCAAATTTCTCATAAATTTCGTATAAAGTTCAAAAATTGGATTTATACAGTGTTTGTTAAACCTTAAGCCATATTTTAATACAATATGGATTAACAAGAAAATATTTAATATGAAAAGCATTGCAAATAGTAAAACTAATCATCGTATATCAGTTTTGTGACTAAGGGTATATTAATATGTTAACTTCGTTATTAAATTGATTATTTTTTGCTTAAAATATGTAACAAAATAGTAGTAGTCGACATATGACCACTTTTGAATATTATTCTTTTGCGTGTTTAATGCTCGTTAATTTTTTATAAGTGAATAGCACATTAAATAACAGGACCCATATATGTACATATGTACATAAATCGAAATGTAAAAAATGTATATATATTTCGAAAATAACTGAATTTCTTTCATTTCTATGAATAAATAACGTAAAAAAATTTTAAGAAATCATCAATTCTAAGAAGGGCAGGGAGGTATTCGTGATAGGTTCTTTTAAACAAGTCACGAAATGGGTAAACGGGGTTTGCCAGGGGACAGGTTTTCTCAGGTCGTCACAGTTCTGCCACCGGAGTCTCTATGCGGTGGCAATCGGTCACTGCCAATGACAACTCCGTGTTAAAGTTGCCGGTCGTTTTCATATAATTGAACCGGAACTGTGATCGGTATCTTCTCTTTCAGACAGGTATGTGATATATCCAGTGCCGGTGCTTTTGCCTGCAGGGCAACTACAGCGAGTGATCAGCTATTCAACTGCTGTACAAGCGAGCTCCGATAGTCTCTTATTGTGTATTGCAAAAGCGTGAAGTCTTCTTCACTTCATCGCTTAAGCCCTTACTTTGCCGCTAATTAAGTGCAGCTGTGGCAAACCCCTGCTGT